TGGCCCATAACCCAATAGCTTAGGCTTTTGGGTTGCAAATGGTGTTCATCTATTGTGTACAAGTCTTACGTGTGTGTACGTGTACGAAGCCCCCGGTTTTGGAAACTCCTCATGGTTCGTGACCCCCTCAAGGCCCCAACAAGTGGTATCAGAGCCAAAGGTTCGGCTGGGTGCAAGCGTTGACAAATGAACATGATGGTGACTCCCATGGCTTTGCTTCCTTTCCCCATGGTCGAGTAGTTGGCATGCGTTGGCTCTCATGGATCTGCTAGTTCCCCATGGTCAAATGGGTTAGGCGAGAGTAGTTGGTGAGCGGTTTTCAAGTGCATGTACGTGGTTCCCATGATACCACCCATGGTTACATGTGTTCGGATAGGTATCATGAGGTGGTAGGCTCCCTATGGTCATGAACAAGGGCTCTTGGTGTTGTGCATGCAGTGCAGTATGGTACATGTCAAGCTTGGTGATTGACTTCTGTTCAAGGGGGAGTGGTTAGAGAAACTCACATGTGAGGGGGAGATTGTTGGGATGCACATGTGAGTAGGTGTATGGAATGAGGAATGAATGAGAATCCCACATTGTCAAGACACAAGAATTGCAAGGGACTATATACAAGAGTGGCCCATAACCCAATAGCTTAGGCTTTTGGGTTGTAAATGGTGTCCATTTGTTGTGTACAAGTCTTACATGCATGTACGTGTATGAAGCCCCTGGTTTTGGCAACTCCTCATGGTCCATGACCCCCTCAAGGCCCCAATATAGGTAATCTCACAAACTCTAGTTTTTATACCTTGCTCTCTTCATCAACTATGCTAGTCATAACCACCTAGGATTCTTGCTTTAACAAAGCAAATTATATATGAAACCTTGGAGTTACAGTTGACAAGGAGGAAGAAGAGTTACAGGGTAATGTTGTGAATTCTGTAAAGAATATTACTTGATGGGTGGAGTTATAGGGTAATGTTGTGAATTCTGTAAAGAGGAAGAAGAGCGAGAGCGAGAGAGATAAGACGAAACATAGGAGAATAGAGAGAGGAGGAGGAAAGAAGGGGGATAAGGTTGGGCGATCCTGCCGTTGGAAGGGGGTTGCCATCACCATTACCCTTGTTCAATTCGCTCATACCACTTGGGCTATGATACCTCCATGAACGTCATCAGATGCATCCGCTCGTTCTCTGCTTCTTCCAATAGAGCCTTAATCCAACCCCTATTGTGCTCGAATCGCCTCATGGACTTGCAGTGCAAGAGCATCCCTCCGACCATTCCCGACATGGTGGCAACCAACTCTAGCATCATTACGTGGCAACCATACTAATTCTGCACCAAAAAATTGAACCACAAGTTAAAAGGCATTACCATAATTTGTAATCTTCTTTCTTTTAGATGAATTCAACTATTCCCGAGTCACTTGATAAGACTACAAAACATTCCTGGAAGAAAATCTCAGTTGGGTAATGAGTCAGTCCTCTAACCACTAGCGATCATGGAACGTTTAATGGAATCAACACCGAGACTTCCTGTTTGTTTTAAGCCAATCGATCTGCTATGATAGGGCGAACTTGGAACAAGTTTCATAGGTTGGGTGTAGGTAACGATAGTACCTCAGCTTTGAACAACAAATAAGAAGAGAATGGCGTGCAAACCAATCACGAGGAGGAGAAGATGATTGTGAGCTATTGGGGCATGCCTCTGGCTAATCTAATGAAGCAGGATGGCTCGAAGTGGAAATGGAACAGTTTTCGAGTACCCTTCTTTGGATTTCCATGCCATCAAAAAGACCGGCATGGAAGGAGTTGGGTTTTATTCTGAAAATTTGAAAAACTGTGGAAGGAAAATTGGGCATTTTGTTTTTGGGTAAATTTCTTGAACTATCCTTATGGTTTAGCTAATTGACTAAGTACACCCCTACTATTTGACTATTGTCTAATGCTACCCTTATTGTTTCAAAAAATTACCATTATCGTTAAAATATTAATGGAATGGATAAAATGTCCATTTTTCCCTCTCTTAAACACCTAAGTTTGCACTCATTTTCTGGGGCCCGATTCATTAATTCTTCTCACCTCATTTCTCGTTTCTCCCCCCTTATCTCAGTCTTTCCACATCTGTAACTGCTCTGTTCATCATCTTCTCAGACAAAGAACAAAGAAACTCCCGATGGTGATGAAGTCACTTTTATAACCTTTTTCTTCATATATTCTCATTCAGTTAAGTCATTCTCATATCCCTTCACCCTTGATTCCGTTAAAACACTAAGGGAGGAATCATGTTTTGTCGCCCCTAATTACCGTTGTCGTGTCGACTGTGTCAAGAGGTTCAAGACAAGGTGAATAGTTGATATTGGGTCATTGTTATGTTCGATGGGGAGTGAGAAAGGGAGAAGAGAAACCAGAATCGTATTTTCCTAACATTTCCTTTTCTCTTTACAGAGATTGACAACTACCACTCCCTGTGAAATACAAAAGGGACAACCTTGCAAAATACATAAGGATTGATCTTCTTCCCCTGTGAAACTACCGCTCCCTCTCTCTTCACCTTCTTCCCCTGTGAAATTGTTGCTCTCTCTCTCTATTTTCCCATCTCTCTCCCCCCTTTCTTCCATTTTTAGATTTTTCTTTTCCCCTTCGTTCTCTCCCTCTCTCTCCCTTTCCCTGTTTCAATTGTCGCCTCTTGCAGTGGCAGATCTAAACACAACGGCGAAGCATCGCTTTCAACACACAATGACAGAGCAACACTCTAAACCCAAATCAAGATTTGGGGAAAAAGAAGAAAAGCAAAAGCCCAAGCAAGGTACCTCTGTTGCTTAGAGAGACTGACATCCCTAGGTGTATATCTTCTCTTCTCTTCTTTCTAATTCTAACTTCTCTGTTATTGTTTAGACAAACGAGGAGAAGTCTCGGTAATGTCAGGAAAATACAATTCCAGTTTCTCTGTTCATCATCTCTCTCCCCTTCCTCATCCATGCCATTTTTTACATCCCAAACGAGAAGTCTCATTTTTTTTTCTTTCCTTTGTTTCTCTTAGCTTAGCTTCTCCATATCATTGTTGCAATTGGGATATGAGGTTGGGAGAGAAAGCTGACGGGTGTGTGTATAACAATACAGGATCTAAGATTTGGACTTTCATATCTTCATATCTACTTCTAGGACTAAGGGATGAGGTTGTAGCAGCGGCAATGCCTTGGTTGACAGTCCACTGTGCAAGGAAAGAGGTGAGGAGAGACAAAGAGATTTGAAAGGGTATTTTCGGAATTTTTGAAAAAAAATCGGTCACGTGATGTCATATGTGACTAAGTGTGGCGAAAAATTAACTGTAGGGGAGGTTTTAGTCAATTGTTAGAAAACTTAAGGGTACTCTAAGACAATAGTTAAACAATAAGGGTATACTTAGTTAATTAGCTAAATGGTAGGGGTAATTTAAGAAATTTACCCTTTATTTTTTTGTTACCATACAATTATCAACAGTGAGGATACTTTAAGATAATACTCAAACAATAAGGATATAGTTAGTCAATTTCCTAAACTTTAAGGGTAGTTTAAAAAATTTGCCCTAACAATAAATGGTGGAATTCTACAATGCATCCCTATCTCGCCTCGATGCATCACAAACGATGCATCTCAGCATCTGTTTCATTGCTTTATTACATATACGATATACTTGTGATTGTCCAATTGTTGTTATTCTTATTTGGGATTATAGCTAATAAGGGCAATTTTTGGGCCCTAATATCAAGTAATCCTTTTAATATAATTTCTAAAATAGGTTAACTTTTTTAAAAAATATATCAAATAAGGGCAAAGACATTGTTCATCTTCTTCCTCCTTCAAACAAACCAGTGATGAGTCACCTGAACCCAGAGGATTTCCAACAACACTAAGCACCCGGTGGTTGGCGTTGTTGAACAAAGACCCACGACTTGGAGGTGCTTAGTTGCTTGAACCCAGAGGATTTCCGATGCCCCATCTCTCTTGAGATTATGACCGATCCTAGTGGTATCTTTCATTTTAAGATTAAAGTGTCGCCCTTCTCTTCTCCCTTGTTAGTTATTACCAGAGCATTTCAGTGACCCTTTCAATTTAGATGTGACATCTCTTCTCCCTAGGGGTGGATTCGAGCCGAGTCAAGCCAAATAGTACCAGGCTCGGGCTCGGCTCGAGACTATTCTACAAGGCTCGAGCTCGAGCTCTGTTCGAACCAGAACCTTGACCTCGAGCTCAGCTCGAGTCAAAAGTTCATAAGCTCGAGTTCGGCTCGGCTCAAGCTCGATTTTGAAAAAAAATATTTTATAAAACTAAATATTATATATAAATTTTTTATTTTATATTTAAAAAATTAAGAATTATAATAATTAATAATTATAATATTTTTATTATATATATTATTTTCTATAATTTTATTATATATATATTATATTAAATATTAAATATATATATTCAAGCTGGCTCGCGAGCCTCACAAGTTGAAATCTAATAGGCTTGAGCTCGGCTCGTTTAATAATCGAGCCACTGAATTAGGCTTGATCTCAGTTGAAACTGAGCCGAGCCGAGCTCAAGCAGCTCGTTGCCACCCCTACTTCTCCCCTTAACAAATACAGAGTTGGTCCCCAATACAGCTCTCAAAAAAAGCCCCATCTCTCTTCCTCTCCTACCACCCCTACATGAAGCCATTTTTCTTCGGGAGGAAAAATGATTCAAAGAAACTCCATGTCAACAGATTGACGGTATTCGTTGGTGTAGTAGAGGCATGTGTCAGATTGGTGTTGTCGGAGGTGAGCGCAGGCAATGGTGGCACCGGTAGATGATGATCATTGAAATTTATAAGGTTGGGGCGGAAGTGGTTTGTAGGAGGAAAAAGATAATAAATGTTTTTGCCCTATATATTTTAAAAAAAATTAACTTATTTTAGAAATTATATTAAAATAATTATTTTTATTGATATTAGGACCCAAAATTGCCCTTATTAGGATATTATTTTTATTGATTACTTTTATAATCCCTTCTTCTTTACCGATTCATTGAGGCTTTGCTATGGATTCTTTGATTCTTAGAAAACCTCTAATCAATGTTGTTGGAGTGTTAGGATTTGGCACATCGTGGAATTGATTTATTCGTTTCTTCCCCGTTCAACGTAATGCATCGTTGTTGATTTAGGTATTGATCGAAGGAGTTCAAATTATCAGAGATGTTCCCAATACATAGCCGGGATGTTCTGTGGAACGTTGTGGGGGCAATCTTATGGGGGCTGATTTGAACTCCTTCAGTCAATACCCAAGTCAATCACGACGCATTCCCTTGAACCGGGAAGAAACGCATAAAGCAATTCTACGATGTGCCAAATGGCAATACTTCAACATTGATTAGAGGTTTTCGTAAGAATCAAAGAATCCATAGAAAAGCCTCCATGAATCGGTTGGTATGAGCACTGTGAAAGAAGAATAACAGCCATTGGACGATCACAGGTATACCGTACATGTAATAAAGCAACGAAAGAGACGCTGATTTGATTTCTGTGAAGAAGTGTTTCTGAGCTTCAGACATAATAACCAGACAACGAAAGCTAGACTCCGGTTGTTGGATTTGGAAATTTCTCAAGGGAAATGAAGGGCTCCTCCTTCTTCAGCTGGGCTTCCAGAGCTCTACACAGCCACCCTGCTTTCACTAAGGTCTTTGTTGTCTTCACTGTCAGGTTCTGTATCTTCTGAATTATTCCTTTGTCGGTATAATTCCCTTGCTTTGTTGAATTTTTTTACGAGTAATTTTGACATATTTGCTGAATCCTTTTCTGTTAACACTGCTTGAAGTTTCTAAATTACGTTTTAGATCTTTCTAATTCGCTATTTTAGGTACTGTATTCTTTCATCCTATTATATTTACTCTGACTCACAGCTCATTCAGCTGGGATGTGGACATGAGAAATTCTCACCCACTGCACAACCTTAATTCTGCAACTTCCAGGCGGAACTTTTTATTTATTTTTTATTTTTTTCTGAAAAACAAAAAAATTGTTCATTGTGGACCTGGATATTGCTCGACCTCCGTATATGACCAAACGTCACCAAAGGGATTCTCCTTGCCATTGATCTGTAGTCAGCAATTACTGTTTCCCCAGTTACCATTTAGGCATAACTTAAATTAGCAAGGGCTAGAAAAATGAAGAAAAAGAAAAAAAATGTCTGACCGAAACTGGAGTTCTCGGTAGCAACTTAGCTTCAGGATTTTCTGATGATAATATAAATATATTATTGTTGTTAACGAGTAAATTTGGAGATCAACCGTGAGCGCTCAGACTGTTGAGTTATTCACAAGATGCACATCTTCTGTGGATTGTGCCTTTAAATTTTGTTTCCTCGGGTATCTCCCTGATATAGGTTCATTCAATTGGAAGATATTTGTTTTATTCATTAACTTTTTTGGGGCTTCTCTTCGATATGGCTTTGGTATATTAAGATTTTCTAGACTGTTTATCATTATATTGACCATTGAAAAGAATGTTATATGTAAGGGGTAATACTCAACTCAGCCTTAATCCCAACTATTTGGGGGTGGCTATGTTAGAGGCAATAATGACTATCTAATTATGTCAGTTTCCTGACTACTCGATAATAATGTTATAGATTACATCATTATAATATCCGATCCTTTTGACATTTTTGTGTAGATCTCCTTGGAGGGACTCATCCCTTGATGGGCCTTAGAATCTTGGCTTCATCAATGTGTACCATTTTTTATCAGTAACTGAAAAGGACTTGGTTGATAATATAGAACTTGTAGAGCAACAAGCTGTACAATCAATATTTTGTGTACAAATACAACCCATACTTGCCAGTAATCTGTTGTGATGAGAAGCAGACGATTCAGCACAGGGGGTATATCCCAGAAATTGATGCTGTCACCTTTTCTAGGGTCATATCTTATGGACTTGTAAAAATTGTCATTGATCAAGTGGATTTCTTTCCAAGGTGAAGCCAAATCATCTTTTGGATCCAATTTAGCATCCCAAACCATTGGGATGTGCCCCATGAATACATCTCACAACAGCATGCCACAATTAATTCTCATCAATAGGAAACCTCCAAAGCTACTTACCTATCTTATGTGATTCTCTAAGACAACCATGAACCATAAAGCTGTTTTCCAATTACATAATGAACTAGAAAGCTTTCTATTTAGATTCACAAATTATTTGGTAAATATGAAACCATGAACATGAATCACTTGTGGTCCCCTTGCCATTGTACTGTTTGTATTTATTTTTTGTATTTTTTCTTATATTGCTTCACGTTGTGTCATAATCAGCCTTTCTTTTAGCTTTCAACCTTGCACTCATGATGTTGATTGTTGCAGTACTGGATCTCTCCTGACATACTCAGAGTCGAAATCAGACCATGGTACAGAAAATGATGAATCTTCTAAAACAGAAGCCAAGAAGAAGAGAGTGGTTGTGCTTGGGACTGGGTGGGCTGGTACAAGCTTCCTAAAGGGTCTGGATATCTCCTCATTTGATGTTCAGGTGGTATCACCCCGTAATTACTTTGCATTTACCCCTTTGCTTCCAAGTGTCACATGTGGTACTGTTGAAGCACGAAGCATTGTTGAGCCAATTCGGAAAATTATGAAGAAGGTAAAAATAATAATATTAAATATAGAAAGCATTTTATCTTTTCTCTTATGGACCAGGTTGCTAAAATGCTTTTCTTATTCCTGAACTCATCCCTCTGATGTAGTAAAAGTTTTCCCACTGAAGATCATAATCCATACAATCTCTTCCTACCATTTAAAGCCACTTAGAATCTTCTGGTTTCTGTATATTTAAATTGTCTAGGTTTCAAAGGCTTTCCTTACACTTTTGAATATTTGAAATCACAGTATGCACTTCTTGGGGACTCTCTTTCCTCAATAGAATCACAGTATGTTTGTTTGTTTGTATGCATATAATTGTTGTTCTGTATACCATGTAATTAACACTACTTTCATTGCCACATATTCTGTTAGAGAGGACTCCTAGGTTCCCCTACTTATTTGATATATCAAATTTGCATATAAAAAGAAATTTTTTGTAAGTTTCATAAGGATTGTTGCTGTTTGATGTTGTGACCATGTGATCATTGAGCATTGCTTCTTGGACTTTCACTTGATTGATGCTTTAGTAAGAAAAAAAGAAAGAACTGTTTCTCTGTTTCATTGCTTACCTTTAAAATTGTTGATTTTCTCTAGTTGGAAATGGTGTTATCCATGACTCTATAATTCTCTGGCAGAAACATGGAGAAATTCAATTCTGGGAAGCGGAGTGTGTCAAGATTGATGCTGCAAATAAGAAAGTTTTCTGTCGATCTAATCATGATACAGATTTGGTGGGGAATGATGAATTTTTTCTGGAATATGACTACTTAGTAATTTCCCTGGGAGCCCAAGTCAATACCTTTAACACTTCTGGTGTCATGGAGCATTGCCATTTTTTGAAGGTAAAATCGATATATTCTTAGTCTAAGATGTCACCTGTATCATTTATCATTTACCATTTCTTGGTACAATAGTAAAATCTTGGGCTGATAAGTGAGAAAATGTGGGTTTGTGTCTAAGAGCAGATGGTTTGTGCAAAAAATGAGAAAATTAGGTCTACATCGAGTCATCAAGTTCACCCCCAAGAGCCTGGATATCTGGGACCACAACTGGGTTATGGCCTTTAATAGGGTGGAAGTCCCCATTGTCCCAAATGGTTTGAGGGTCATGCCTGAAATGTTGATTATGGTCAAATTGATAACTGACTTCTTCGATATGGTGTAAAATTTAAGCATGCTGTGCCCTGGGGTAGCATTTGTAACCTGAGAAGAATGCAATATCACTATTGTTGGCCAGCTGTAGCTGTGATGTGCTTTAAAGGCCACCTACCTATATTTGGAGTGTTTGGCAATATGTACATCTGGTTCTGATTTTGCAATGAATTCATTTGTTACCTATAAAAGAATATGGTGTAAAACTTATTATAACTTTAAGAACACACCTTCCTGCAGGAAATAGAGGATGCTCAAAAGATCCGTAGGAGCATTGTAGATTGTTTTGAGAAGGCTTCCCTTCCAGGACTTAGTAATGAGGAGATGAGGACAAATCTTCATTTTGTAATTGTTGGTGGGGGTCCTACTGGTGTGGAATTTGCTGCAGAGCTGCATGACTTTATCACAGAAGATTTAATCAGATTATACCCGATGGTTAAAGACCTAGTGAAAATAACACTTATTCAGTCTGGAGATCATATTTTGAACACGTAAGGAGATATCCTATTTCTTCCCTATTTCTATGTTTGAAAAATTGTTATGAATTCCCTTTTTTTCTTTGTATTCTGGGGGGTTTTGTCTAGGAATAACATTTTGTGCCAGTGAAGTTTCAAAGATATCATATTCCTTTTCCCTATTGCCATGTTTGGAGAAGTGTTGTGAATTTCCATTTTCTTTGTTTTTTTGGAGCTCTTATCTAAATGTTTGTGAAATTTCCAAGGTCCTTGCATGCCCTTATCCTTTTATTATCAATAACTGCAATTTTCATTAATTAAAGAAGACAAAAAACTGTACAAGTACAATTGGAGATAAAATAACTTATCTCCAAATCAAAATGTTACAATTGAGCCCAGAACATTTGGTTGTGGTTGATCAATGATTCGTAGCACAGAGACTTAGACTTGATGGAAATGTAGTGTGAACTGTCTGGATTGAATAGGCCCAGGAATTTGGTCCCTTTGCATTTTGTTCTGATCCCTAATCTGGATATGAACAAAAGCCATATTGATCTTGTTATCAAACCTGTGTTTAATCAAATAAATAAAGAAAAACACACCTGCAACAAGTTGTGGAAGAGATAACAGAGAGAGCTTCCGCCCTAATATGTTTAAATCATAATGAAAGGAGGGATTGCAATATTACCCCTGATTGTGAGACTTAAGAACAGAGACAAAAACAGAACTAAGAGAAGGGGGAAAAAGACTAAAATAACCTAGAACAAACACTGTATTTTAACATTCCCCCTCAAGTTGGAGCATATATATCATACAACTCGAACTTGTTACAAATGTATTTCACCCGAGCACCACTCAATCCTTTGGTGAATTGGTCAGCTAGTTGATCTTCAGACTTCACATATGGGGTAATAGTTTTTCCACTAATGACCTTCTCTCTTACAAAGTGACAATCCACCTCTATGTGTTTGGTTCTCTCATGATACACTGGATTGGAGGAGATATGAATGGCTGCCTGGTTGTCACAAAACAACTTCATGGGAGTTGTGACCGACATTCCCATTTCCCGTAAGGCTGTAATAGTTGTTTCAACCACACCAACTCGCATGTAGTGTAGGTCATGGCTCTGTACTCGGCCTCAACGCTACTTCTCGCCACCACATTTTGCTTTTTGCTCTTGCAAGTGATCAAATGCCTGCCAAAAACGTATAGTAACCAGTTGTTGATTTCCTGTTAGTAACGGATCCTACCCAATTAACATTTGTATATCCCTCCAAGGAGAGTTCTCTCCCTTTCTTATACAACAACCCTTGAGGCCTTGACTCGGAGCACCCTTTAAATAGCGTAGAACTCTAACAGTACCTTTCCAATGGGTTGTCCTTGGGTTCTGCATGAACTAACTCAATAATCCAACACTGAAGGAAATGTTTGGTCTTGTGATGGTTAAATAAATTAGTTTCCCAACTACTCTCCTGTATCATACAGGATCAGCTAGAGGCTCCCCCTCACTATCAGAAATCTTCACATTCGGGTTTATAGGAGTTTCCACTAATTTTTTCCCTAATAGACCAGTTTCTTCCAAAAAGTCAAGAACATACTTCTTTTGTGAGAGAGAGATTCCCCACTTTGACCTTGCCACTTCTATCCCCAGAAAATATTTCAAGTGTTCCAAGTCCTTAGTCTGGAATTGACTTTGTAGGAACTGTTTGAGGTCTTCAATGCCATGCTCATTGCTTCCTGTAATAATAATATAATCAACATAAACTGCCAACACAATTTTTCTAGAGATATTATCTCTATTGAACACGGAGTGATCAACCCTACATTGTCATCCCAAACTACTGTACCACACTACTCAATCTCCCAAACAGGCCCTCGGAGATCATTTCAATCCATAAATTGCTTTCTTCAGCCAACACACCTTTCCTTCCTCCCCCTGAGAAATATATCCTGGAGGTTGCTCCATATATACCTCTTCTTCTAAGTCACCGTGGAGAAAAGCATTTTCGATATCTAACTGAAATAATGACCAATCAAAGTGTGCAACTAAAGAGATAAACACACAAATTGAACCCATTTTAGCTACAAGGAAAAGGTATTAGTATAATCAAATCCATAAGTCTATATGTACCCTTTGGCTGCTAAGCGCACTTTATATCTCTCCACACTACCATCTGCAAGATGTTTAATAGTGTACACCCACTGACAACCAATTGCTTTCTTCCCTAGAGGAAGAGAAGTGAGGTCTCAAGTATGATTAAACTGAAGAGCATGAAATTCTTCATCCATCATCCTCTTCCATTTTGGAGAGAGTAAGGGCATCATGAAGAGATCTAGGAACAAACATAGAGGAGAGAAAAGACACAGTGTTCCGATAAGATGGAGGTAAATGAGCAAATGAAACATACCAAGATATAGGGTGTTTGGTACAAGCACGCTTACCTTTATGAAGGGCAATGGGAAGATCTAAATGAGACTGATTCGTCGATGGAGAAGCTGGTGATGGCTGAGATGAAGTTGGAGTAGGCTAAAACATGATACCACGGGGACTGTGAGTATACACTCTATAGATTAGTGGTCACGTTGGCTCTTGAACAACCAAAGTAGGAATAGACACCTCCTCTACTGGTGAGGGGAGAGGAGGTGGGGATAAGTTATCAAGAGATGTAGGCTCTACTAAGGAAAAGAAGGGAATATTCTCAAAGAAGGTCACATCAGGAAGAACAAAGGAGCGATGAAGAGAAGGGCTATATCACTTATACCCTTTTTGGGTTCGAGAATACCCAAAAAATACACATTTTAGAGCATGGACATCCAACTTATCCAAACCGGGACTCAAACGATGAACAAAAGAAACACAACCAAAGACACACAGAGGAAAAGGGAACGGAGATTGAGAAGAAAAGACAATAGAGAAGGGAGAAGAACCACGTAACACTGAAGATGGCATCCGATTAATAAGGAAGCAAGAGGTGAGGACAACATCAGTCCAATATTTTTTTGGAACCGACATTTGAATCAAAAGTGCCCAAGCAGTATTAAAATGTCTATTCTTCCGCTCAGCCACTTTGATGACATAGAGAAGGACGAAGTTTTTCATACTCTTCTCGGGTGATGGAGACCATTTCCTTCTCTTTCCTAGTTCCTAAAGCAGAAGGCTCATCACCTGTAGCACCACTATCCCCCTCTACAGCAGCATGATTGGTCCAAGTAGATGGCAGGCCATGCAGATCATAACAGTAGTTCACGATATGTTCTTCCCTTCCACAGTAGCTGTATTCTTTGACCATTCCCCGACCACCAGCATTGACACCATTCCCTCTAAAGTTACCATCTCTGCCACCACCATGACCTCCTCTCATGCCACGGTTACCCCATTGGGACAGCTCCTTCTACCACGTGAGCTACCTCTACCACCTCTGGTTGTGGCTAAAGCCGACTTCTCTAATACTGGAGTACTTATCTGTATGTGAGCTTGTAACCTTCCAACTCTGGAAAAAACTTCTGATAGTCTGGCTACCTAGAATCTGGGGACGCACTGGTTCAAATTCAGTTCTCAGTCCAGAAAGAAATCTTGCTACATCCAATTGATCTCTCTGTTGTTTCTGTACTTTGAGGTCAATCAAAAGGGGCTGGTACAAATCCAACTCATTGCGTAAACTTTTTAAACTAGCATAGTACTCCACATTCTTATCACCTTGTTACAGATAAAAATATTCCTGGTACAACTAATATATTCTAGTTACATTTTCTTGTCTAGAATATAACTGTTTGGCATGTTCCCAAATTTCTTTCGCAGTATCAAAGAACATCAAGTTCACACTAATATGATGTTCCATATTGTTCCAAAGGCATGTCATGATCTGCAAATTCTCCTGAATCCAATCGTTATACCCTGTATTCCTTGGGTCTGGTTTATTTTCTTTAATATACTTCAGTTTTCCTCTGGCTATCAAATTCACCTCAACAGATTTTGCCCATGGTACATAATTTGTAAGTTTGACCGACTTCATCTATACAGCCATGAAGTCCTGTTACACCATCACACTTGTTTTCTTTTCGCTACCAGGAGCTGCCATCAGTTGCAATAAATTATTTCTGCAACACTCTCCCAAGCCGAACACCTTTCAGAGACAATAAAAACACTCAACTGACTTCTCTACTGGTTTGGAAGCATCAATAGCATAGCCGCAACCCTTGCGTATGTTTGGTTCCATGGGCGTTTCCTGAGAGGTGTTTTTTTAGATAAACGTTTATCTGAAAAACGCTACTTTAAACGCTTTTTGCTTTTTCTATTTGGTTGGACGTTTTACGTGCGTTTCAAGTAACACACTCCATAATGCTGCTTTCCACCTCAGATAAAGTGCGCCACATCCAGCATTTCATTTCAAGAAATGCCTAGGCATTGGGGGAAACATGAATTTGACGTTTTCCCAAATGCCCCATGCACATAAATCAAAGCGTTTCAGTTTTTTAGTGTTTATTTGATAAACGGTGAAACCAAACAGTGGTTTCATATGCAATAAACACCAATGCCTATGTGGTGCTGATGTGGTGGCGTTTTTCAATAAATGCCCACGGAACCAAACATATACTTAATCTAGAACATCAACACTGGAAACCCCTCTACAAGTGAACCAACTTCACCTTTTACAAAGACCAACCCACCAAACACAAACAACAAACATCCAATCTGCACATTCACAGTCCCTCTTCGAACTGGCAAGTAAAGGGAGCCTAATACACCACCAACCAACCAACCAACGATGCAACTTGAAGCATGGGAGCCTCCTAAACCCCTAGGCAATCAGTCCTTTTCAGTCTTTCCCTTTCCTTTCACTTTTAAAGAGCAGAAAACTTCAACTGATGCAGTCCTGGGCATCCTTCACTGATGCAGGCGTGTTGGACAATCAACCAGGCTCTGGTACCATGTTATCAGACCTGTGTTTAATCAAATAAATAAAGAAAAACACACCTGCAATGAATTCTGGAAGAGATAACAGAGAGGAGGAAGAAGAGAAGAAGAATATGAAAAGAATAGGGCTATTCTGCCTCAGTTGAATGAGAAAGCTGCCACCCCAATATGTTTAAATCATAATGAAAGGAGGAATTACAATATTACCCCTGATTCTGAGACTTAAGTACAGAGACAAAAACAGAACAAAAAGAAGGGGGAAAAAGACTAAAATAACCCAGAACAAACACTGTATTTTAACAGATTTGACAAAATACCCTGATAAGTAACTGTTTTAAGTATTTTGTCAGCACTCTGCAACCCACAAAAGCAAGCTAACAGCCCTAATACTCATATTTTTATTTTTATTTTATCATTTTTCCAGGTTTGATGAAAGAATAAGCTCATTTGCAGAAAAGAAGTTCCAAAGAGATGGCATTGAAGTGCAAACAGGATGTCGGGTTGTAAGCGTCTCTGATAGGGAGATTAAGATGAAGTTAAAATCAAAAGGAGAAATTTCTTCTATACCATATGGAATGGTTGTCTGGTCTACTGGTATTGGGGCACGCCCTGTTATAAAGGATTTAATGGAACAAATTGGTCAGGTTTGTTGAGTTAAAACCATGCTTTTGTTTTGATGACAATATTATTGAAACGTTCTATTTTTATTTAGGATAGATATTTTCATTTTCCTTCATCACTGGATTCAATTATGCAGACTAATAGACGTGCCTTAGCAACTGATGAATGGCTGCGAGTGTTGGGATGTGATAATGTGTATGCTATTGGTGATTGTGCTACCATAAATCAGCGTAAAGTCATGGTATGTGCAGCCTTAAAGCTGGTTTATATGTGGTTGTTGTATGCTGGGGTGGTCTAAGTTTTGACTGATTGGCTGAATCTATTTAAGGGAAGATTGGCTGAGTCATGGTGAAGCAATATGGATTCACCTCATTTTTCTGTTGGATGAATTTCTTCTCTTAATTTTTTTATAATAATTCTGTTGGATGGATTTTATACAGGATCATGACTTCTACTCTTGATAACCCACAGTATATGAACTAAGGTTTCTAACAATCCTGTTAATCTTCTATGAGAGGCTCTCATGATAAGCTTGCTAGGCTCATTCTCTTCAACAATGTTGGAAAAAAACCTGGGCTATCCTATTCCCTTGTCTCTTAAGGTCAAGAATGGTTTTATGGATGATTTTCTAAAACTTCAAGTCCTTGGCATGTTTCATTTTAAGGGGTTTGAACTTGCCTTCCAGATCATTCTTCCCTTGTCCCTTCATACCTCACTATCCTGTATCTAGTGGATGGATTTTAGACAAGAGCCATGACTTTTACCCTTGATTTTATCAGCCCACAATAGGTTAACAATATCTGCTTCTTATATTTTCTAATTTAATGTCATTACGCTAATGATTTTACTCCATACACATTGTGTTTGAAGGAAGATATCTCATTGATATTTGAGGTTGCTGACAAAGACAACTCTGGTACCTTAACTGTTAAAGAGTTCCAAGATGTTATTGAGGACATCCTTATAAGGTACCCCCAAGTGGATCTCTATTTAAAGAGTAAGCATCTCCGCAACGTGGCAGATTTGTTGAAGGATTCCCAAGGAAATGATAGAGAGGAAGTGGATATTGAAGAGTTTAAGTCATTACTGTCTCATGTAGATTCGAAGATGAAGAGTCTTCCTGCAACTGCTCAGGTAACGATCTTGCATTTTCTTGTGAGATAAAAATTTCATGAAACCTGTATCAATTATGAATTGCAAAACATAGCATCTATTATACCTTGTCTATATTTATAAATAATATTAATAACTTCACATATGGCATTTTAGGTTGCAGCTCAACAGGGCGCATATCTTGCTAGGTGTTTTAACCATATGGAAGACTGCAAAACTAAACCAGAAGGCCCTCTTCGTTTCAGAGAATCTGGTCACCATCAATTTCGCCCCTTTCAGTATGTCTACTTTGCCCTGCTAATCTTTTGACCTCTCTATCCTGTTAAGTGGTAACTGCAACATTTTGTTAAGCTGAATTGAGCATCAAAATTGGGGAAAATTTATAATCTAATGAAGATCTAGTAATACTGGATCCTCTACCAGGCAAAGGACCATATGACTTGTTAATCCAGGCTTAACCAATTGGTGGCCCTTCCCTTGGACGGTGCCTTATGTTTATCCACTCCTATTTTAGTAATTTGTGTTGTATTATATTAGGGATATATAATATCTGTACAGAGAATATTCCACTGAAGAAAGAATTGCTGTATAAACCTCCATGGCATGACTACTGAGTCCTCCAAGTTCCAACTGTGTGCTCTGTCTGGCCCATAGTTAGTAATACGTGTGCTGTGTACAGCATATGAAATATTCATATCTAATTTTAAATCAAGAACAAAAAATTGGTTAAATACAATACAATACAGTACAAATATTCATTTCCCCTAGTGTTTTCAACTGCTTCTTTTGCTTTTATAGTTGACAGAATGAGGAAGCAATTCTTTTCTCTCTGATGCGGGATAAAGGCACACTACCTAAAATTGACTGCACCTGCCAAAAAGAATGACCTTGTGCAGGTTTCTGTTTTCACCACATAAAGAAGGGAGAACAAAAAGATAAATACTCGGATCTGAGAAGAAGAGAGTAACTGCTGAAGTGGAGAAGAGCCCACTCGGCTTGGTCTTTGTTCATTCTATTGTGAAGATAAGCTATTGCATAAACACCCCTGTTTAGTAAGAAAACTGAACTGACAAAAATGCCCATCCCTATAATAAAGATAATAAGGAGAGACAAAGGACCAGTAGGCCTAGCCTATACTTCTAACACATCACATCTCTCTTTTTCACCCACACCCACACTCAAACCCAAACACCCACATGCACAAAATACAAATGACATTTTTTTTTAATTTTAGAGTAGAAACATACTTATAAATAGTTACTTTTTCTGCGTGAAATGGTATATACAAAGAATAGCATAGGCATAAAAGTCCATTACTCAATGTTGGTCCCAGCTATCTGGGATTTTAGGAAGGGTTGACTGGACATGCATAAGTAGCATAATTATAGAAAATAAGTAGAGGGCAGGGGCTGGTAGCAAAAAAAAAAAGATGTAGAGAGTAATGGCAGAGCCAGGGGGGGACCCAGGGGCGCCTTGGTCCCCTCTATCCCCCAGAATCCCCACTTATATTATGGATGGTTGGTCTCTCATGTTAGGTTTTGCCCCCCCCACCAAAAAAAAAAAAAGACTACTATAAAACACACACACATATACTGTAAGAATGTGGGAAAATTTCCAAGAGCAGTCACCCTTCTCTTTATGTATGATGCTCTTAAAGTTTCAGGTTTGGCTTTGGCCGTTCCTGGCTCTGGTTCTGGCCCCCATTTCAATACCCACTCCACCATTTGATAACATGGAGCTGGAACCTTTCTTATATTTTGTCTCCTGAATTATGCATTCCTAACCAATTATTATAATTAGGTACAAGCATTTTGGGCAGTTTGCTCCTCTGGGAGGAGAGCAAACAGCTGCAGAGTTGCCTGGAGACTGGGTTTCCATGGGTCAGAGCACTCAGTGGCTCTGGTATTCAGTTTATGCAAGGTAATCTTCTGCTTCTAGCATTCATATATGTTTCAGCATTGCGTGGGCATAGCTAATATGGATTTAAGTGAATTCTAAATTTCTAGTGCTATTTCCCTTCAGCAAGCAAGTAAGCTGGCGCACAAGGTTTTTGGTGATGTCTGACTGGACGAGGAGATTCCTCTTTGGGAGGGACTCCAGTCGGATTTGAGGCTTCCGGTGAGGGTGCCACCAACTGTTGTCAAGCACCGTATCCTCAGCTTGTCACCTCCATTACTACATATTTTTTTCATCCTTTTTAGCAAGTGTGATTTTTCTGAGGCTTAAAAAAAGTGGATTGTTCTGGTTCGGTGGTGCTTGTTGCTATTTTATAGGGCGATTCTTTGATAGCCTGGAATGTATGTAAATAAGTAAATTATTAAATTTGATTAGAGGCTTTATTTTTTAAAAAGATTTTGGTATTTGCTTCTGTGGCCGTTTATTTGAAAAATGACGCCAATTCATTGCTATATAGGTGTTTAGCCCAAAATTCTATTGATAAGACGTTCATTAGATAAAAGTTTGTCTCAGTTTATGTGTGAGCCAATCGTTGGAGGTAACACTATTTTTTATGTTTTCCCCCAACACGAGCCGTTTATTTACTATTCAGCTTATGTGATGCTTAGTGGTGTTTAATGGCACCTAATTGTCAAACAATAGCAATAAATATTTATTCTCATTTTTCCAGGCAAATCCCATAGAAAACGTTTCTTCAATAAATGGATATAGTACCAAACAACCTCTTTATATGCATACCAACTTAGGTTGGAAAGATAAGTGTAGGACCATTACCAAAATATATAGGCCACTAACTTTGAATATGTTTTATTAAAAATATATAGGGTAAATTACTTAAACGACCCTTCTGCTTAGACTTGGCAAAAAATTGACCCAACCTATGAACCCGACTCAACCCAACCTGAAAAAATAGGGTTAGGGTCTCATATCTAGTTACCTTAATTTGAGAATGATCTGACCCGACCCAACTCAAAAAAAAAATGGGCTAGTTTGGGTTGGGTCATGGGGCAACCTATTAACCCTATTATCACGTCTAATTGGGACTATTTATGTATTTTTAGAAGTTTTCATTCTTTAATCTTTACTATTTATTGTTTATTCTTTGAATTTTTGAATTTTTAAGTTTTTTTGTTTTATGTTTGAAATTTTAAGGTTAATTCTTTTAATTTTGGCATTTTTCTTTATTTTTTAAAATTCTAGTTAATTTTAGGATTGACCTAAATTGACCCATGGGCCAACGTCAACCTCAACCCAAACATTGAGGGTTAGGGTCTAGTATTTGTTGACCCAACCCGAACTCAACCCATCCAACCAAATGGCTAGGTCTACTTCTAGTTATTGACAACTGTTTAAACTTCCCCTATACCATTCAAGCTAGTTCGTTAGGTCGTTAGATGGTGTTTGGTATCGATGTAGCTTTTGGAAGAAACAGTGCCAGTTCAACATTGTTGATGTGTTTAACAGAAAAATGTCTAAAAAGTTATTTGGTTGAGCCATTTATTTGATAAACGGCTTCCTTGAAAAACGTGTGAACCTTTTATTAGAAAAACACCAACTTTGACGTTTTTCATTTTCAATACCGATTTTTCACTATTTGGCTTATATGGTGCCTAATGGCGTCTAGTGGTGCCTATTGGCATTAAGGTGTAAAAAAATCGTACAAAAGTTTTATCTTATAAACGCCATCAATACTAAACAACCTCTTAGTTGTACAATTTGTTATCCAAGTGGACTACCCTATGTGTTCTCTATATATTATTCTCCCGAATATCAAATGAATGAAGTATCTTTTTACTCCTCTGTTCAATTTAGATGGTATCAGAGTGTTAGATCCTTTGCTCCCAAGAACTGCCGTCTCTCTTTCTGCTAGCAAGAAGATGGCATCAAAAATCGGAAATTCTAGCAGTAGTGAGAAGTTCTCCGATCCTTTGTCACCATTCTATCTCCATCCCTCCGATAACCCTCGTTCGATCTTGGTCTCTTGCCTATTAACGAGAGAATTACCAGACGTGGAAGTGTGTTATGATTTTTGCCTTAAGTGCCAAGAACAAAACTGGGTTCGTGGATGGAACAATCAAGAAACCAGACCATTCAAATTTAACGGAATGGTATGCCTAGTCAAAATGCAACTCAATGGTGATTTTATGGATCTTCAACAACGTTGCTCAAGAACTACACCAAAGTATTGCATACGTTGAGAATGCCCATGAGATTTGGCTGGATTTGGAACAATGTTTTTCTTAGGGTAACACCCCTAGAATCTTTCAATTGAAAAGAGACCTGACACTACTAAAACAAGAAAATCTCCCAATTTTCATATATTACTCTAAGATCAAAGGCATATGGGATGAACTTGCAACCTTCTTAGGCGCACTAGTTTGTTCCTACAGTGGAGAAGCAAAGGAATTCTTTGCTAAGAAAGAAACAAAACACATCTATTAGTTTCTCCTCGGCTTGAGTGAGAAATTCAGCACAATCTGATCTAGTATACTTTGTAGGGACCAACGATTGAAGCTGCAGCCATGAATATAGCAGCGCCACCAAAAGGTGGAAACTCCAAGAATGTTGGTGATGAGCCCAGGATGTGTTGTGATCATTGCAAGAAGCAAGGACATACTAAAGACCGTTGCTACAAGTTGTTTGAATATCCAAAAAAATTGGAAAGCCAGGGGGAGATTGAAAGGAAAATCACCAGGAAAACCTTCCGCACCAAAAATCTGGAATCACCAATTCAGATGCTAAAATTTCTCCAATTAATTGGTCTCTCATACGAGCAATATCAGCAGTTGATCAACCTTCTCAATGGTGGAAAGCTTGTTCTCTCCAATTTTGTTGAAGGCTGCACAATTAAATTGGTTTATGCACTTTGATGTTTAGCTATTGGATAGTGGTGCTACTGATCACATGGAACCATGCCAGACTGATCTCCATAGTTTTGATATGCCAGAAATGCGATCAGTTCAATTACCAAATGGGACCAGTTTACCCATTCAATCCAATGGTGATGTATCACTCCACCCAGGATTCACTTTATAAGATGTCTTATTCATACTTGGTTTTTGTTGCAATTTGGCATCTATCAGTAAACTCACATTGCAGCTCAACTGTGCTGCTATATTTTTTCCAACTTTATGTGCATTGTAGGTAGATCTGTTCATGGGCTAGGTCGTGCTTTGTTTATGTATCAATAGAATACACTTAGGCCCGAGCCTAAGCCCGGCCCAACCATCGGGCCTAGGTCTTGAGCTCGAGCCCGACCCTCATATAAAGCTCGAAACTTGGGCCCAAGCCCTAGACTGGCTAGAAATTTGAAAACAGATTTTTTTTTCTTTTTTATTCAATAAAAAGTGTTATAGGGCCCAAGCCCTAGAACTTTCATATGGGGTCCGGTTCATGACAGCCTTTGTGGGTGAGATATTGAGAAGATAAACTACTGTTGCCACTGCTTCTACCCAGAACTAATTTGGAACACCACTTGCTTTCATCATGCTTTTTGCCATTTCAACCACCGTTCGATTCTTCCACTCAGCCACACCATTTTGCTCTGGTGTGTACGGTGCCGTCAACTCCCTGTGAATGTCATTTTCCTCACAGAAAACATTAAATTCATTAGAGGTAAATTCACCACCCCTATTGGAGCGGAGCACCTTTATACAATGCCCACTTTGCTTCTCCACTAATGCTTTGAATTTCTTGAAAGTTTCAAAAGTTACTGATTTGAATTTCAAGAAATACACCCAACTCATGCGGCTATAATCATTAGTAAATAACAAAAAATATTTGCTTCCACCAAATGATTCAATACTCATTGGTCCACACACATCAGCATGTACCAATTCAAGACAATCAGAAGCCCTCAATGACTTGTCTACAGGAAATAAATTTCTACTTTGTTTCCCATAGACACAACCTTCACAAAAATCAAGATCATCAATTTTCGGCAACCCAACAACCATTTTTTTTGAGCCAACAATTTCAGCCCTTTCACATTTAAATGCCCATAATGCAAATGCCACATTTTTGCATCACTAGCTCTAGCAATCAAGGCACAATTTCTTACTTCAAAGACTTCTAACGGAAATATTTTATTTTGTGCCATAGGAATGCTAACTATTTTGTGCCCTGTTTTCTTATCTTGGACAGAACAACAACCATCATCAAACAAAATAGAGTATCCACCATCCATCAATTGCCCAACACTCAAACAAATTATGAGCTAAATTAAGAACATATTGCACATCATGGAGAAGTTTTACATTACCTTGTGAGGTTTTGATGGCAATTGTACCTTTCCCTTCAACTTGCATTTGCTTGTTGTCTCCAAGTCGAATTTCGGTTTTCTGTGACTCGTCAAGTTCTTTAAAAAGAGACTTTGTTCTGGATATATGGTTGGAGCATCCACTGTACAGAAACCAAACTCCATTGGAAGCATTATCAATAGGAGAATGAGCCATGAATAGCTTGCTCTCCTCTTCAACTTTCTTTGTAAAATTGGCTTGTTTCTGCTCATCTTTCTGCTTGGTCCAACAATCTACTTCTTTGTGACCTAATTTCTTGCAATATCGGCATTGGATGGTGCTTTCGTGTTGGCGTTGATCACCAAATTGGCCTCTTCGTCTACCGCCACCGTGACCTCGACCACCTCTGCTCTGTCCCCGGCCTCCAGAATTTTCTGACTTTCCTTTGTAGGAAGACTCCCCCTTAAACTGAAAAGCCTTCTCCTCAACCTTTTCATAGGATCTGCTCAGTCTAACTTCATGGGCTAACAAAGAACTCATTAATTCATCAAAAGTATAAGTAGACAAGTCCTTAGACTCTTCAATTGCAACAACTACATGATCAAATTTTGATGTTAAACTCCTCAAAACCTTACTCACAACAGTTTCATTACTAACACTTTCAACATATGACTTCATATGATTAACAATCCTAGACACCTTAGATAAAAATACTTGCACAGATTCTTTTTCTTTCACGGCCAATGTTTCAAAATCACGACGAAGGGTCTGTAGTTTTACAGTAATTACCTTCTTGTCGCCCAAAAATTCTTGCTTTAGAATCTCCCATTCTTGAGTGGAGGTGCTAGCTGCTGCAATTCTTGGAAAGTTTTCTTCATCAAGGGCCTGTTGAATGAGGAACATAGCCTTTTCATCATTCTTACGGATTTCTCGCAACCGTTGATCAGGCTCGGTCGGATTTGTGTCCTTAAATCCCTTCTCCACCAAGTCCCATAGCTCTTGAGACTTGAACATGGTCTTAATTTTGAGGCTCCAAAAGTGATAATTTACCCCTTTAAAGCCTAGAATTAGAGGCAGAGCTGATGAATTGGCTCCATTGCTTTCTGATACGAAAAAGTAAAGAAGATAAATGGGAAAATAATATTTCTTGATATGAATTCAATAGGTTACAACCTATTTATAATAAAGCTAGGGATACAACTAGAGAACAGGTCGG